AATAATAGAGTATTTGTATCTATATATAATCTATACATTAAATATGTATAGATAGAAAAAGAAAAATAATAGAGTGTATATGTCTATATATAATCTATACATTAAATATTGATATATTTTATATACATTTTCATTTTAGCAATCAATGGGCAAAGCCAATTTTCTAGCTAGTATTCTCAATAATTCTATTTTGGGAATATCTATGGTCTAGGAAATCAAGGCAATCATTACTACAAGAAAGTATGTATACACACACACACACGCACACACACACGCACACACACACACATGCACGCACACACACACACACCCTGTATGTATGTATTAGAACATGAGGGGGGAAAAGCCCTCAAAATATTGTACGTTCCCTGGATTGAACATGTGCTGCACATAAACACGTTTCTCTGTTGATGTGCAGTGCCTGCCCGGCCTCCTTAGTCCCTTCACGTTGCTGCTGCAACGAAGACATCCTAACAACCCTTCATCCCTACACAACGGCTTTCTGGACAACGCACATCACATACGCTTCTCTGGAGACTACAACCTTTCCTTGTGCATGTTTGCCCTCCTGGCATCCTGCCTTACTTCCCCAAGGAGTGGAGAAGGGGTGAAGAGATGGTGTCTCCTGTGGGATCCCCTGAAGCTCTGCCTGAGGGGCTCCTGCAGCAGGCTCAGGGGATGCTGAGTCACAGCAGGCAGCAGAGGGCCCTGCTTTAGTTTCACCTCACTGCAGGAGGCGCTTCTTATTCCCCGGTACAGGACACCAAACTGAAGACATCAAAAGTCTCGCGTCCTATACCAGGGAATAAGCAGCCTATCCATCCAATCTAACGTAGCCATTGTTTACTCCCTCTATTATTTTACTAGATATACTGTTTATTTCCTTTTAACAATTACCATAATATGTAGTTATCTGCTTTTGTATCATCTGTCCCAAAAGAACAGACCAGAATCTTGTTTGCTTTATTGCCAGACCCCCATGTCTAATGAGTACCACTCAGTAAATACTTTGAATGATGGTCTGCTGCACAGTATTCAGTAATGAGAAAGCTCTCTGTGTACTTCTAAAACTTACAAAAAGAAAAACGCTTAGATCCTGGAACTATAATGATCCAGTGCTCTTTTACAAACAAAAAGAAACTGAGCTCACAATCCCCTTAGAACTACAAGTTTGGGGTGGTGCCAGGACGAGTCTTCCACCTCCCTGCTTTACACTCCAGGGAGCTGTCCAAACCAGCCTCCTGCTTCCTTCAGTCTTACTTTATTATTCCTACAGGATGCATAGAGTGCTGAACGCAAGTCACAACCAAATGTTTGCCTCTTTCCCATACAGTGCCTTGTTGTTCTGCCAACTACAGTGAAGAAACTCACCAAGACACTGTGTGAGGTGCCAACAAGGCTGATGTCTCTGCCGTGGGCATAGAAGAGGAATTCCATCGCAGTCCCATCCTGCTCCACAACGTGGCCTCTGAATGCCAACATGGCCAGGCCAGCTGCCATATTCACTACACTGATTGGATTTAAACCCTGAAAAGTAAATGTATATGTCCTAGCATCTCATGCACCCAAAAAAGGAATCAGTGCAGGGAATGCACATTTCAGTAGCTATGCTGATTTTCCCCAAAGAGGATAAGTCTAAACTCAAGTTACCAAGAAAAAAATTCTACGAAAAGCAGGATCACAGAAACAAGTTCCATCACAATCCCACGTCACAAATCCACTGGCAAAGGCTTTATAATATGGACTTAGAGTTTCCTGATCCAGAATCCTTAGCAAACTCACAGGTTAAACCGTTATGTCTGCTAAAACATTTCTCCTTACAAAAGCAAGAGACCTTGATATCTTTCTAACTGCCCTGGAATACCTGTTTGCTTTATTTTTGTTTTTTTTTTGGTTTTTCTCTGGTACCAGGAACCGAACTCACGACCTTGCGCTTGCCAGGCAGGCGCTTTTGCCGCTGAGCTAAATCCCCAGCCCCTTACCTGTTTGCTTTATGGGATCAAAGTCAAGATTCTTCCCTACAGTCAGCTGCACTCCAGCCACAGTTCCCAGTTTGGGAACATCTACTTTCCATGAAGTCATGGCTCAAAATTCACCTTCTCAGTATCCATGGACAGAGTAACAGGACATCTCTATCTAATCCTCCAGCACGATGTCTGGTTCATCCCTGGACCAGGATACTTTTTTATTACTTGGAAGTTAGCTATTTCTTTTTATGTACTTACACATTTCATCCAGTAATAGTGAACCTTTTAGAGACAAGTGCCAAAACTGCAAACCAAAACCCACTTGCTTGTCACAAAATGCCAACACTGCAATTAACCCTGAATAATGAGGTTTTAGTTTAGAAAAAACTCATACCTAAGCATCTTTTGTCTGAAAAAAAAAAAAAAAAGAAAACGCACTATGCCATAGGTTCACCACCACTGATCTAGTCTATCAGATCAGTTTGAAAGCAAACGGATGGAAAGTCAAGAAGGCATCAGTTTGTTAAGTCTCTATACTGGTCTCTATTTTCCAACTATAATGACAAAGAGTCTCACTCCTGGACATTGCAGGCTAATATAAATTCCTGTCTCTGCAGGCCACCTTTTACTGCAACCAAGTTTTGTTTGGTTTTGTTGTTTTTTAACCAATACATAAAAACAGAACTTGCATATGGGTACCATGTTATGTTTTAATACACATATATATTGTATAATATTTAAGGCCAGGTAAACATATTTATCTGCTCATATTGGTCGTTTGTTTGTTTGTTTTTGGAGATGGGGATCTTACTAGGTTGCCCAGGCTGGGCTCAAAAAATCCTCTTGCCTCTGCCTCCTAAGTAGCTCCCAGTACAGGCATATACCACCAGGACCACACGGGCAACTTTCTTAATCATACAAGCAAGACCCAGAATCACTGGTGCCATGTAACACTGCATTTGTGTCTACATGCATTTGTGTTCTCAATTCTGTATTTTTAAAAAAGAACACAAGGCTGGCTTTTTAAGTCAGGCAAGACAATAGTAATTCAAGTGCTACAAACCCACAGAGATGGATAAGTTGTTAATCCTATTAATTACAAAGTTTGATGTATTTACCCAAATATAAGACAAATGTTATTAAGGTTTAATAAGTAAGTTAGGATGTTTTTAAAAATCTGTCCAAATTTATATAGAATGGGATACTGGGAAATAGGAAAATATATTTTTTCTATTCCCAAGAAATGATGCTCGATTTAGCTGCCAAAAACTTCTGATAAAAATGAAAGTAGATGTAGATAACAACAATCCCATTCCTCAAATTTTTAAAAAGCTCATTCAGTTATACATTACAAATACTCTGAAACTCAGTGACCGTGCACTGTCAACAACTGCACAACTAAATCACACAGACACATCTTTCAAAGTCAAAATGAAGATATTTAACGTTTTATAGTAAACATCACTGACATCCTTATCTCTGCATAAGGCTTTTTTATTAAATTGCCTTATTCCTTAAATAAATTGATAAAAACAAATTCTTAGTATTTAATATAATTATCCAAGTCTGCTGAAAATTTTTTCCATCCACACATTATTAGCATGCAGGTTTAATACTTATTACAAAAACAAACTCATATCCCAAGTAAGGTACTGCAGAAAGGAATTTAGATAGGAGCATGAAAGAAGTTATTTGTAATTTAAATAGAAACTTTAAATAGCATTTTTTAAAGTTAACACGATGTGGAACTCAGTTAAATTTTCTTGTGAAAGCAAAATTTCCTTACATTTGCACTAATGTGTTACTCTGAAAATTCTGACATTGTCAAATGCACGGTAGATGCTTACAAAGTGTTTTTAAAATGACCATTACAGAGAAGGGGCTCACAATTACCTGAGGCTCAGATCTTAGGAAGAAGGTAATACCTTCAGGACAGTGATACATATTATGCATGCATATGCATACACGTGCACACATACACATACACACACACAAAGTTAAGTCAAGTCACGTGTAGCTAACAGGCATGCACTTCTATAACCTGCATCCTACGGTTTAGGAAAGCACCAACCTTCAGCTCCATCAAAACTACCACAGTAGGAGCCGGTGAGGGAATAGACCTTCTTCTAACACTGTACAATACGTATTAATAAGGTGGTGTGTGTGTTGAGCATTTCCTCAAGTCTGATAAGTAATGTGACTATAAATCAGTACCTCCATTTGAGTTACCAGTTAATACAGAGACAAAAGGAAGGTCCAGGCATTTCACATACAAATCTATGAAAAGTGAATTAAGCTGTCTACTATGCTGAAAAAAATGTCTTTGAAATGCACACTGTTAGCAGTGATTTAGCCTGCAAGCTGCTTACACAAATCAGACTGTCAAGATTATCAATCCTCCCTGAGAAATTTTTTTTTAATTTCTGTATGATACTGTCTCTGAAAATAAATACATCAACATAAATAAACTAAAAACTTTATTTTCTTAGTTTTCGATGTGGTACAATTTTGGATTAGACACCTAGTTAAGCATTTTAATGAAAACAGGGAAATTCAAAGTTATTCCAACACCAATACATAAAGGTATTCATATTCTTTATAAAAATTAGCAGGGAAATTAATGTAACATATGTAAACAAAGCATTTGATATTTTTACTGGGGTTACTTATTGTAAGAATAGTTTACCCTGCCATGTTTTAAATTAATAAAAAGTCAATTCATAATACAAGACTCTGTATGTTATATATAGACACATATCCAAAAGACACAAACTCAAAATGTTGGCAACTATGTCAATATATCTGAGTTAGACAAGAATAAAGGTACTTACGTGAGAACAGTAACATTACAGGAATGTTTTTCTTCATTAGTTAGAAACATTACTAAATCATTTCTTAAATTAAAATATATTTACTTTTATTTAATTATGTATATAAAGCCGTTATAAAACCTAGTTATATTAAATAATACTAAAATAATCTAATTTCTAAATAAAATTTCTGCACAGTTTTAAATTTCACACAAGCACATACCTGAGCCAACCTCCTTTTCCTCTTCTTCAATGTTGTTTTTGATGCTATCGTACTCCTCATCAATGGTCTGGTTACCACGCATTTGAGACAAAATTCTACGGGCCTTCTGAGTCTGTCCTTTCTGAATAAGCCATCGAGGACTTTCAGGCAAGAAGAGAAAACCAAAAAACTGTATAACTGCAGGGATTGCTGCAAGTCCCAACATGTACCTGCAAGAAAGCAAGTTCACCTTTACTGTAAAATTTGGTCTAACAGCACTGAGCTTGTGCTTACTACATACCTTTGTGTTTGGACTAAAATGATATCTAATGCTTATTTAGTCAAAATTTTTTATTATATATGCATCTACATGCAGCAGAAAGGGTATTTTATGCTGTAGTGGAAATGTAAAATGAGGAAATGTTAACACTTTTCTCATACAAATTACATTGAAAAAAAGCTACAATCTTATACACACTGAACCAAACTCATCATGTAAACAACACACTGACCATCCCTAATATACAAAATAATTATATATTTTACAGCATCAAAGCTGGACTGGTATGGTTTGGGCATCCACCATCGGCCCAGCCAGCCAATCCATTTATGTAAAAATCTATATTCACCAGCACTGGTAGGTCACCAAAAAGTCTCTTGACTCAATACTCTTTTCAAACTTATCCTAACTTTTAGGCTACGTTAAACACAAAATATATTGTCCTTAACGGCTCCGGAGATACACCTCATTAAGTAAATCCACTTTCTGGACAATTTCATTTTAATTCTAGAAATGTCTATTGTCACCTGGGTATTAAGAATAGCACTTACTACAAACTAAAACTACATGTGGAAAGATTCAGAAAGTAAACAAAGTGTTAATGAGAATGACAGTGTTTTCTACTCTAATCCATGAGTTGTGATAATTACACTGATACTTAATCATTCTGTCATCCTCAGAACAGTTTCTTAACATGAATTTAATCACCTTTTCCAAGCTTGATTTATATCATTATATATCATTTATATCATTGTATCTTATATTGTAATAAATTATTTAACCTGTTCCACTCAATGGCCCAGCACCTAGTAAAGTATTTTGCACACTGTAGGCACTCAGAAAATGTTTTATGAAATTATAGGAAGCAACTATATTTATCTAATCTTTCTCCATTAACTACACAGAAAATAATACTTCAGAATCATACCGCATTTTATGTAGCAACTCTTCTGAATCATCTAGCTCTGCAAACATACTTGCATAGAAATTCTGTCCAACTAAACCATTTACTACTCTAGATTCAATCAGACTTTTCCAGAAGAGTCTTCAGATAAGAGGTAGAGGATAGCTCACAAAGTAGTTATTCATTTCTGGGTTCTCCAGCTAGGAAGTTAACTTACAGAACAAAATCCATTATGTAAATGAATGTTTTGTTGCTGTAAATAATTAAAATTTCAATGCAAATTGAAGTCTCTGAAAGAATTTAAAACAAATGGGCTAAGGGTGTAGCTCAGCAGCAGTACACTTGCCCGAGGTCCTAGACCAGAATCCCCAGCACCGCAAGGGAGCCCAACCTTGGTAACTTAGCAAGACCAAATCACAAAAGAAAAGTGTTTTTTGTTTTTTAAAGAGCTGGGAATGTAGATCCATCAAAGACCCTGGGTTCAATCTCCAGTGTATGTCTGTGTGAATAAGAAAGGGGACAAAAGGGGGAAGGAGGGAATTCATAAAAGACAGATACAAAACACACTGGATAAGGAAATACAGTAAATAAGAAAGTCCTGAATATGCAAATTTTCATGTTTCATTTCTCTAACTCATGATTAAAAATGAAGATTAAAGAGCTGCAGAGCACACTTCAAAAAAGCACTTGAAATGAATATAGAAACCGAATCACTGTCAGGTCCAGGAATATTCTCAGAATACTCTGTACTTCACTATGGATTATTAAATCTCAAAGGAAATACAGGCAAGTAAAAACAGGGAAAAAAGAAAACCAAAAGAAAAATGCAAACATACACATTATCCTTTGCTTCTCAAGTCAGCTACAGGAGAAAGACTACTTTAGACCTAAAGCCTTTGGAAACGTAAACCCCAAAAGTCTAGGGGTCGATTTAAATTCTATGCCATTGTATCAATGCATAGAAAGAAATGCGCACCCTGCTGCCAGTCTTAAGGATATTAAAGCCTCTTTCCAAACACTAGTCAAGAAAAACTTTCATGCACCTACCTCCTAACCCTTCTTTTCTAAACATAAAGCAAGACACTTTATTCTAATTACCTTCCAAGATAAAAATGTTTTGATAGGAATCCTTTTTCTGGCTTTGTGGACATCCAGTACATTGGACGGAGGGTCAACTGGGATATATGACAGCAAGAGGAACAGACGTGGGTCTCCCTTCACGCCATAGGCTGGCTAAGTGCCCCTCATATGCTCATGTGGTGGGTCATGGTCTCTAGGTGGGAGAAGATAAAACCTTGGGGCTTCAGAGGAGAAAGCCAGGTCATACACAGTGGGACCCCAGCCCGTTCCTGTCTCTGCTTCCCAGCTGCCCACCATGTTGATGGCTTCCCCTGCCATGTGCTTCCATAGGCAAAAAAGCAATGAGCCAATCAGCCATGCATTGAAGTCTCTCAAACTGTGGCAAAATAAAGCAATTCTGCTCAGTGTGGTGATGCACACCTGCAATCCCAGCTACTCAGGATGCTGAGGCAGAAGGATGGCAAGTTGGAGGCCAGGCTAGACAACAAGACCCTGTCTCAAAATGACCGATAAGAAGGGGATGTAGCACAGCGAAAGAGGCTCGCCTAGGAAGTGCAAGCCACTGAGTTCAGTCCCAACCATGGCAAAAAATATATATACATAGATAAACACGTTAACAACACATATAATGCATTATTAGACATAATAATGTTTGTGCTATAAATGCACAAACCATTCCTCTATGTTGACGTTCTTAGGTATTTGTTACAGGAACACCAATACACTTCAAATCTGGATACCAACCACAAGGCCCCAATCATGCTACATTTGAACACATGGGAACAGTGTCTATTTCATTGACTGCTAGGAAAATTAACTCAAATTTAAAAAGGGGGAAAGGGCTTAGGATGTGACTCAGTGAAAGAATACTGGGTTCAATACCCAGTACTGCCAAAATAAAATGAAACAACAACCACGCAAATGACAAAAAGCACCGTGAGAGGCCAGAGCAGGCAGCCCCAACCGACAAAGGAGATATTATTATACACTAAATCAAGGGTTCCAAACCCTTCCTTCATATTAGAATCGCCCAGGGGGCTTTTAAAACACACCAGAATCTAGCTCCACCCTCCCCTGGGGACTCTGATTAATTGGTCTGGGCTCTGGGCCCAGGGAATTCTATTTCATTAAGAGCTCTCTAGGTGGTGCTAATGTGCAGCGGCCAAGAACAACAGATGTAAATGTTTTAAAAGCCCAAGTGAGGATGAACAACAAGCACCCAGGACCCACACCTTAAGGAAAAAGCCACTGATCTTGCGGCAACAAGACAATTCACCATGTTGACAAGGGGAAGGGAGCAGAAACAAAAATGCCAGGCTTCCACGAGATCTCAGAATCTTTAGAGTATTCTCTGCTATCACAATCACTCACCACAAGATACTTCCTAAAATCTGCTAACCCTGAAGTTAACAAACAAGCTATTTTTCTGGCACAACTAGCAGTACGATCACTTGCTGACCATAAAACTAAGGAGCAGGCCCTCTAACAGGGAGCTACCACCAGCTCCGCAAAGGGTAAAATGTAGCTCTATGTGAGGGCTCTGGGTTCACTGCTCAGTTCCGCCATGAAGCAAGGAAGGAAGAGAGGGCAGGAAGGAGGGAGGGAGGGAAGGAGGGAGAAGCTCATGGCAAGTACCTGCCTAGCACGCAGCAAACCTTGGCTTCAATCTCTAACACAGCAGAAATCACAAACCAAGAAAGAAAACAGGTACTTCACGCCTGCTTTAAAGGAATTACGCTGCTCCCACGCATGTAATGTAAGGCAAGCACCCTCCAACATGTGGCTGCTTAAGGAACAAAATTCTGCAGTCGTGATAACTATCACCTTCTCTGAACTGGTAACAGGGGTTATTTTGCATGTTATTCTTTAGTAGTTCCAGAAGGGTGATATTATGTTCTAAATACATGAAAATCACCTTCAATGTCTGAGCTCAGCTCATACATACAATCATTGAACAATAACAGCAACAGTGACAGCTACTACATAGCATCAGTTACTATGCGCCAAGCTTTGTCTAAAGGACTTCAGATCTATTAACACCTATTATCTTCACTGCAATCCTAGCAGGTGGTTACCATTGTTACCCCCATTTTACAGACTAAGGAAGGAGGCACAAAGAAGCCATGGCCAGTAGATGGGAGAAGTGTAATTAAAGCCCAAGCAGTTCAACTCGTATAATAAATGCTTATCATCAGCTAAGCGCTAATAAACCTTCAATGATTACTTGATAGTTCCATTGAACTCATAAAAAGGGCATTAGTTCACCTCAGTTTCATGTTAAAATTTCCAAGGTTCTTTCAGAAAGTACTATTCACCTCCACGCAGCAAAGAGCTGCAGCAGAAACAAAAAAAAGGTCTGGCCTGGAGCAGCCACTCAGCTACATCCACACAGCCTGAAACAGAGCACACCCACTGGGGTGGTAACTGCCAGCGGGACTTCACCAGTACGGATGCCCCAGTGGTACACAATTCAGTACATGTTACCCTCTCCAAACCGTCCTCACTGAACCACAGCTCCCTAACAGCAGGAGTATAGCACAGAAAACAGCTCAGGAGTGGTGAAAAGAAAATATCTCCTTTACAAAGGAAAACTTTGTTTATTTGAGCACTTTGCCGAATTGAACTTTTAGCTCATTATTCTTTAACATACACAGATAAACTTTCCATGCAAGGAAAAATATAGGTAACTAACAAATATTTTAAAGATCATTAGGAACAAAAATGAATATGCGACATTTGGGCCTTTTAAAATATTCCACATGATAGGCATGACACATCTAAAGTTGTTTTACTCTACAATTTATTTTCCAGGGGCTGGGGATTTAGCTCAGCGGCAAAAGCGCCTGCCTGGCAAGCGCAAGGTCGTGAGTTCGGTTCCCGGTACCGGAGAAAAACAAAAAAAAAAAAAAAAAAAAAAACAAAAAATACAATTTATTTTCCAACCTGTCTCTAGATGCCTCCCCCCA